CTGGCCCTCGAATGTTTTAGTTGCGTTGCTGCCAATGGAGGAACAGAAAGCCCTCGGATTTCATCAAAAATATCCTCATTTGTGTTCTGAAGATGAACAAAGGTCTTACAGGTGTGGAACGACACGAGTGTGAGTAATTAATGACAGAATTTTCATTTTAGGGTGAACTATCTGTTTAATAGGCCAAACCACACTGACCAGTGGATCTGCATCTCCAATCGCATCGAAAGCGTTTCCTCGCTCCTACATCTTCCAGCCTACGACCCGGACACCGATCGAACTCAGCTGTCTAATGATCTAATGATAGAAATGTAGCGCTCAAATTGCCCATCTTAACGATGTTTAACAGGTGGAGAAACAAATATGTTTCAAATCTCAAACGTTACATTACAATCTGCAGTGCTAAGGCAGCACAGCACAGCGGCCACCGTATCAGAAATGCAAAACTTGAAAGGTAAACACAGTTTGGAAAACAATGACAGAACATAACTTATTCTGCTCTATTCTGCTAAAATGAACAATAAGCTTCCAAAAATTGTTACACAAGCATTCACTCACCTCATCCACGGTGAATATGCTTCTTCGCGCGCAGCCCAACGGACAGCTTCCTCAAGTTCATGAGTTGTTCGTCTGAAATTCCTCCGCGGTTTAGTTAGTTCGCTGTATAGTCTGCCCGTGTCTCCTTGTTTGATGTTGCACTGCGATGTCTTTATGTATTAAACATGAGTCTAATGACTAGATTTGCTGAATATATTTTTTTCTTGGAAAGGACTCTGATATTAAATTCATGTACAAATTTGACTCCTGCGCATGAATCCATGTTCAGAGATTTGGCCGGTTAGTGCCAAAAAGCTACAACTTAAAATGTTAAGTTCACTGAACTAAATTGGGCTTTTTGAATTTCAGTAACATTAAACTGACTTAAAAAATCAAGTTGAATCTGGTATAACTTATAAAAAAAAAAGTTCAAATTGCTTAAATTATTTTTATGAGTTAAAGTAACTTAAAAACATAAGTTGTCATGGCTTTTTCATCATATCATTTTTTACAGTGCAGGGAGAATGACTGCAGTGACTCACAATAAGGCTTGCAGAAAAGCTATTGCCTGATTGTTAAACTCATCAGTCCTTGTACAATCATTAAGTATATAAGTAAGTACTAAATAATACATAATCAGGTTAGACCCTTCGGACAGCCTGTCATTACCTCAGACACAACTGAACAGTGACCTTGAATCACAATGGCTGCAGGATCAGAGCATGAATTTTCATAACGTGGGTGGTTTACAGAATTAGTTCTCATCACTGCCTCACTCTGAGAACAAATATTAGCCCAAGCCCATTCAAATGGCACATTAGAGCCTTCTCTTTTGTTTTACACCAGCTTTAAAGTCTCATGTATTTTAATTATTATACCATTTTGTTTTGCGATCTTTCGCCCTAATTAAATGTGAAAGAAGTATTATTAGGACAGGTATACTTTCAGAGCCATTTTTCTGTGTAGGAGCATTACTTATCGCTAAACAGCCACCGCTTATGTACAGAAATAGATGACAATTTTTCTCTGTAACCTCATTTCATCAAAGTTAATCTGCCTCTTGAATCTCTTTGATAAGTCTGCCACACAGACTCGATTTGTCAAAACATTCAATTTTGAGATTCAGTAATTAGACATGAGACAATCCACTCAGCGCACAGTTCAATTAACATTGATACCGATTGCAAAGCATTGTTTATTAAAATCAGTATGAATTCCCACTAAAACGTGATGACTGTAAATGTGTCACATGTTCAGTTTGTTTTGTCTTATGCCGAGTTCACACTGCACGATATTAGCCCGATTTTTCACTCGCCGACAGGTTTTGTGAAATCGCCGACAAATGCCCGACATCGGAGGCAAATCGGTGCTCGTTCACGCGAGTGACAATCACACAGTGTGAATTATCAAAGACGCGATCTGAGTGAATCCTCGCCGACGCCCGCAAAATATTTGGCATGCTAAATATCTGGAGCTGTTCGTGCAGTGTGAACTCGCCATTAAGTCAAGTCAAGTCACCTTTATTTATATAGCGCTTTTAACAATACAGATTGTGTCAAAGCAACTGAACAGCATTAATTAGGAAAATAGTGTCAATAATGCAAAATGACAATAGTAAACACAAATTTTTCAGTTAAAGACAGTTCATCATTGAATTCAGTGATGTCAACATCCAGCTCAGTTTAAATAGTATCTTTGCAATCAAGTCAACGGTATCGCTGGAAATGAAGTGTCCCCAACTAAGCAAGCCAGAGGCGACATTAGTTTTCATTGTTTTTCCTTATCTGGTCATGTTCCTGTCTTCATTAGTTCCTTTGCTCATTGTTTAATTATTTGTTTACCTGTATCACCTGTGTCTAGTTTATTACCCTCGTTTGTCTTGTATTTAAGCCCCAGTCTGTTCAGTCGTTGGTTGTCCGGTCACAGTTATTCTACGTTGTGTTTCCGATTGTCCTTCTGCCTTTTTATTATTAAACTGAAAGTTTGGTTTGCACCAGCTGTCTCCTTCGACTTCCTCCTGACACAGCCGTGACAAAATGGTTCCAGATATTTATTTAAATGTTTTTTTTTCTTGCCAAAGTAGTGAAACACACTAAGAACACACAAGACAGAAAGTAACCGTCTCACAGTTTTAGTCGTAACAAGAAACATTTTACATTAAGCACATACAGTATGAACAAGGGATGTCAACCAAATTTGACATTGAGTTTCCATTCAAAATACAAAATTCTGTAAGAGTGAATTTTAAAATGGTATTGAAACAAACAAAAACATTGTAAAGTTAAAAACAAAATTTATCCTTGCTATTTGAACCAAAAACCTGTTAAACGATCTAATTCTCTGACTGATGCCTTTGAAGCTCAATAGGAGCACTGGCTAGAAATGCTCACTTTTTGCAAGAAATCAAACAGCTGAGTAACTCACCTAAAACCAATAGCTATTATTTTCTAGCCACTGTTATGGGAGAGTTTGTGCCTAATGTTGAAAGTGAGAATGTGTACTTTCTTGAAAATTTTGTCTGTTATTTACTCTTTAGATCTCCTTTTTTCACAATGGAATTTCGACATTCTACTCATAGTTCACTTATCTGTATATATGTACAGGCTAGCATATAACAA